TATTATTGCCGTCAAATTCAGTATTTGAATTTTCAATATTTTAGAGCCAATATTGTAAGGATGAGAGAGACCTCGATATTCAATACGTTAAAATTAGTTTTCAATATTGGATATATCTATACTAATTCGTTATATTTTGTTATCTTGATCTTTAATATAAAAATTAAAAACAATTTATTAATTTTATTATGTTATAATTTTATGTTATAATTTTTACGTTTAATTTTTTTAAATAAAAATTATACTATAAAGAATAATAAAATTAGTTACAAAAAAAATATATTTGTGAACAAAATTTTAAATGAATATGTATTGTATTATATTTAAAAATATATAGTTTAGTGCTTAAAAATATATATTCAAATATGATTATTTATCCAGCATGTTATATATAAAAAAGAAAAAAAAAAGAAAAACTTATTATAAAAACTTTAACATAACAAACTAAGCAATTTTAATTTATTTAAAGTCTAAAAAAAGTTCCAAGAAAAATTTACAATTTAAACGAGATTGACAATCAATATCTTGTATATTCTATAAAATTCAGCGAGAGGGATTCTCATGAAATACTTAATTAAGCAATCTTAATTAAAAAGTAACTTGCATCTTCATGCATCTCGTCATATTACATTAACGCAGATTTTACGAAGATTGCCTCTGCAAACTGTCTCTTGTTGTTTTGTGGAGAAGATTCTGGTAACTAAGGAGAAGCTCCTATATATAGTTTCCAGTTAATAACTCGCCTATAAACGAACAGGATCTCTGCTTAGAGAATAAGAAACGGCGCGGCGGAGCGGAAGTAACAAGAAGCAGCGAAATAAGGCCGCCAAGAACAATGAACGATAATGCCAGACGCGAGAATTATAATGGGAAGAACAATTTTGAATGCGGCGAATTGCCAATTAGATAAGAATGATCGATTGCAATTCACTTTGTGGCACAAACCAACTGTCCAGCTTTGTAACAAAATACGTTCTTAGACAATACACAAGTTCAAAAGGAGACATAAGACATCTTAAAGACATCTTTAATCCTATAGCTATACACATTCTTTTTTTTCTACCCTTGATATACACACTCGGGTCCCTGGAACTCCATCACTCAAAAAAAATATTCTGCCGCGAATATAAGCGGGGAATTCCTCTTAGCATTTCCTCTAAGCAAAAAATCTTACATTAATCTTACATTAATCAGATGCGTGTATTTATGATACGTATCCATCTATAAAAATGAGGACACATGAGCTATGATAAAAAATAAATTCCTCTATAGAAAATTCTATTATAATAACTCAAATAGCTTTTTGAAATAAGAAGATATACAAAATACCAGCGGCACGCTATTATTTGTTACAAGAAGTTTGTCATTTACGTGCTACCGTAATACGCGTGCACGTCAGTACATACAAGACATTCTTCTAGTGTTGAGAAGATTGCAATCCTAAATCCAGTACTTTATGGTTATACGAAATTCCTTTACTTTGTAGAATATATCCTTTTGAGGTCATATATAAATGGAAAATCCTTTGACATTAACACGAAACCGCTAAATGGCAGAATATTTTTTTTTGAGTGATCCATATTTGTTACCATATTAACTTCCGTAAAAATGGACATATTTCAGTTAATTTTTTTTCAATCGATGGAGAATTGATTAAGGAACAAATCTACAATGTGTGAAAGTCGATAAAATTAAGGAGCTTCGAGATATATAGGTTCAAAGAAAAAGAACAGTTCAGAAACATGAAAAAATCTCAATTTAACAAATTGCACTGAGGTTTCTGAGACCCCAGTATAGCTAGGATTAAGATATCTTATGATCTAAAACATCTTAATGATGTCTTTTACACGTACGTCTTACACCCAAAAAAAATATTCTGCCATTTAGCGGTTCCTGTTAATATCAGAGGATTTTCCCTTTATATATGAGCTCAAGAGGATACTCTACGTACGAAGTAAAGGAATTTCGTATAACCATAAAGTACTGGATTTAGGATTGTAATTCTCTCAATACTAGAAAAATGTCTTGCATGTACTAACATGCACGCGTACTACGGTAGCACGTAAATAAATGACAAACTTCTAACAAATAAGCGTATAACCGCTAGTATTTTGTATATCCTTTTATTTTAAAAGGTTATTCGAGTTATTATAATAGAATTTTCTATAGAGGAATTTATTTTTGATCATAGCTCATGTGTCCTCATTTTTATAGATGAATACATGTCATAAATACACGCACTTGATTAATGTAAGATTTTTTGCTTAGAAGAAATGCTAAGAGGAATTTCCCGCTTATCGGTAGAATATTTTTTTTTTTGGGTGTCTCAATTTTGGACATGGTGCAGTCTGAATTGCTCGAGTTTATATCGTGATGAGTAAATCAAGTAAATCTTTGAGCAAATTACTAACATGATATTTATGAAATATTTATCGCATAATAATTTAAAACAAAATTTTTTCAAAACTGTGCCTAGAATTAGTATATACATAAAGTAAATGTTTATACATATAATATATATATATACAGAGTGTAACTGAAATAACTCCCACTAATCATATAGTACTATTCCTAATAAAAAACTGAGACGAAAAGTCCTCTACCATTTTGCAATTTTCGTAATATCTTTTTTTAGTTACCCAATGAGCAAAATATCTAAAATCGTATAAGACAGCTTTAAGATATCTTTAAGAGTTTTTTAAGAAAAATCTTCAAAATATTTCACAAAGAACACGGAAATATATCTCAAAATTGTCTTATACATCAATTTTATTCGTTTATTCGGCAATATTTAGAAATTACTTAATATCTCGTTAACTATTGCGAAAATCGCAAAATGGTAGAGGACTTTTCGATTTAGTTTTATTATAGGAATAGCACTGTATGATTAATGGGCGTTATTTCAGTTACACCCTATACAATATTTAATTAAGGAAAATTGAAGGTATTTAAAGTTTTACTGTATTGAAAAAAAAGATTGACTACTGCAGCAAATTAGATGGTAAAATATGGCATAGCATTTTTAATTAGTTACAGCAGCCAATTTTTGGTTGTGTTAGCCTATACTAAAATTGCCTATACCGAAATCCTATACTGACATTACGGATAAGCTAACACAGCCAATAAAAAATGCTATGCCAGATTTTATCATCTAATTTGCTGCAACAGCCAATCTTTTTTTTCAGTGTAAAAATTGACTTAATGAAAAATTGATATAAATTATGATTCTTAAGGATAATTATTTCTTAAAGAGCATTTCTTAAAAGGTAATATTTGAGTATGCAGCGGAAAAGCAAAAACGTGAGAAACTGCACTTTCAACAATCAATTCATTTACGCCGGAAAATATCGAGAAGCCAGCAATTTCGACCGTGGTAATTAGCAATTCCCTAATTAAATTCCGCAGGAAAACATGAAAATGTTCCAACTATTGTATTATGTAATATATATTCTTCCAATTACATATAATATTTTTTAGAAGTACTTCTTCTCCTCGTTTCATATTTATATATTTAATCCCCTTAAATATGTATAATTTTTTTAAACGACTGATCTTTTTTACAAATTACATCGAATTTTACTCTCTCCTGGCGAAAATAAATATCGGGACGTAAGTTGAGTATGAGGAAAAAGTGACAGAAAAAACATAAAGGAAACTTCTAGGAGATATAAATTGGAACAACGAAGCGTAATAGGAGCATTTATCTTTTAAAATGTTTATTTTACATGCTTTTCCAATTTAGAAATTCCTAGAAGTTTCGTTTACGCTTCTGTGTCACTCTCTCCTTAAATTCGACTTACGCTCCCATTTTCCTCACTCAGTACCTTTTATCCTGGGGACGTCCTGAGAACGCCCTCAAGACGTAGAATGTCTTCTAGATGTCTCTTGAAAATTTGTGCTGTATTCCGGACAACATACACTCTAAATTACTTACAGTGAAATCTCACTCCAAGAAAGTGAAAATACAACTACTCTTGAAAAAAGTGAAAATATTTCACTTCTTAAAAAAGAGTGACAATTTTCATTCTTTTTATAGTGAATTTTCACTTCAAAGGAGTGAAATTTTACTCCAAAAAAATGAGATTTCACTAAAAAGAGTAAAGATCGTCACTTTTTTTTTTTCAAGAAATGAAATATTTTCACTTTTTTTCAAGGGTGGTTATATTTTCACTTTCTTGGAGTGAGATTTCACTGCAAGAAATTTAGAGTGTACCTATATTTAAAAAACGTCATAAAAACATTACGAAAACGCTTTTTTAGAACATATCTCAAACAACGCATATGTCCAAAAACAAGCATAATGCGCCTTAAAATCTACAATGAGATTTTAAAGCGTAAAACTCGAGTTTTAAGCCGTAAAAAATTGATCAATTATAATCGATTATTCTCCTTACATTCGATTACGATTGATTTTTTATGGCTTCAGAGGCTTAAGGTTAAAATTTTACGCCTTAAAATCTCACTGTAGACGCCGCTCAAAACATCTTGAAGGTGTCTAAAAGAAAAATATTTTTATAAAAATATATAAGAGACCTCTTATAACATCCTGATTTTGGACTTAATATTGTCTAGGATATGTTTAAAGCCTTGTGTCCTCAGTGCTAGAAAACGCTCCGAGATCTCGGATAGAAAAAAAATTAATATCATAAATCACATTTGAATAATTCGGTCACATGACCAATTCGCGTTTGGTCAATTCTTTCTCCATCTTTGACCGATTTTTAGCATCATGGACACAAGAAGCTTTAAAGAAATCTAAAAGACATCATAAAGACGTTGAGTGTTGTCTAGAAATCTAAAAGACATTATAAAGACATTGTGTGTTGTCTAGGATGAGTCTTTTTCTCTGAATCTATATCGTAAAAATTGTTATAGAGAGTAGCGCGCGGTCGGCAGAATGCGCGTGAAAATTCGCGACTACGCGTATCACAAAATGGAGTACAGTCGCAGTTTGACATCCACCGAACCCTCCCCTCGGGAGGTATCGTATTCTCGCTTACCTTCCGCTGTTCGCTCAATCGTCAACCCCGCCGACGCCGTGAGGAGATAGAGAAGAGATACATCTGTCAGCTAGTCGTCATACTAAACGCCCGTCGACGATCGCCAACACCGTGATCAACACCGTCGCACACTCACTGACTCGATCGCGCGTCGCGACATATCATCGTCGGTGATCGGCACTTATTCTTCCTCTTCGTTTCCTCTTCCTCCTCTTTCCTACGTCGGCGAAAATTTTACCGGCGAGACTGGAGAAGCGCGCTCACGCTAAAACGGGGAAACGGGGAAAACGTAAAAACGGATCGAGGGAGGCTCTCTAAAGCGTGTGTGAATAATCGCGAACACGTTCGCGCACGAACGCACTCTGAATATAATAACGAACGCGTAATAATTATAATCATGAAGGAAGAGTCGCGGACGCGCGCGCGCGTGCCCGTGCGAACGTTCGTATACGAGTGAAAAAAAGGTACCTACGTTAATTCTACGCGGCTACACGGCGTCGCGCCTTCAAGCGCGCTCGCTCCACGGTCGCTACACTAACTGCCGCGACTCGACTTGAATTTCGAGCCAGCGCGCGCGCGCTGACCAATCACCGGCCGGCGTGCCGCTGCCCGCCGACGTCATCACTGCGCAGGCGCGCCGTTGCCCGCCGTTGCCAACGGTATACGTGCGTTACTTCAATCCGTTGAGAAAAAAACCTAATGTGGGGTCTACAATAGAAGTCGTAGGGTCTTAAGTCGTAGAAAATTAACCAATCACAATCAAATATGAAAAGAATAATCGACTCTGATTGGTCAATTTTCTACGACTTAAGACCCTACGACTTCTATTGTAGACCTCGCATAATACTTTTTTCCAACATTTTTTTTTTTAATTTCTTTTTACTATACTTTTATCTATTTATTGAACAGATACAAAACACTTATAGATACTAACATAAAATTTTTATTTGATTGCGTCAAATGTTCGAAATCTTTAGACTGAAAAATAAGGAACTTGTTTTAAAAATAAATGATTTTTAACAGAAGATGAATTGGAATAAATCAAAATGGGACTTCTTTTATTATTATCTAAGATAGTGATAGCCAACCATTTATCTATTGAAAGCAAAAACATTTCTTCTGTTTTATAAAGTTTATTTCTTGTATTGTGTTCTGTTTTACATTCATTTTAAAATAAAATGTAGTTTAACATGAAAACGAACAAAATGAATGTAGCCAAAAAATAAAAGTGTTAAAAAGAAGTCGTTATTTTACTGTCTTTTTTATTTTTTTTTTTTCATGCTTCTTTAAGCGTGTCACTGAGAATGACTGCCTGTCACAGGCCACCCCTGATCTAACAATAAGATATGATTTTGTAAGTCACACAAAAATATGATTTAAATTTGTACATTGTATTCCTCTGGATTTCTCTTTCTGTTCTCAACATGTTTGGTGCGTTCGGGGAGACGCTATTAGGGCTGCTTCTGTCTTCTTCGTTGTTTATTAGACGTAAAACAAGGATAGAATGACACAAATAGCGCTAATAGCGTCTCCTCGAACACACCTGTTATCATTACTTTTTATATTAAAAGATAAGACGATATATATAAAAAGATAAGATGATATATATAATTTATACATTTAAAATATCTTAATTGAAAAAAATAAGTAGATGTAAAAAGGCTTATATAATAATCTATAAATTTTCTCATGTAGTATAGGAACAAAACTCTAAAGCTTTAGATGATATCAGAATAGCACAATAATCCTTTGATCTGAGCTGAATGTTGACATAACTTTCCTATTAACTATTTCGACCGCTTTTTTACCTGATAATCTGTCGTTCAAAAAGTAAGTAATAAATAATAAGTAAGCTTAGTAAATAATCCAATAAAAATAAGTAAACTTATTAATTCTTTGATATATGATCATTAGATGAAAAATAGCGGACTTTTGCTACTCATGCAACTCTAGAGCTCTAGAAAAACACTTTTAGCGCCATCTCTTAGATCATATTCAACTTTCTTTAGACGTTACCAGAGAACATTGGAAGACGGAGATCAACAGAGATGCACTGGAGATGCAATTCTTTTGATTATAAGGAATTTGTTTTATATAAAAGAGATATTACAAAAATATCAAAAAATTCAACTCTGCAAAATTTCAGATTGTTTCTCTGTTTTTTCCTCTCTCTTATTTATTTACATTAGATTGGTACAAAAGGAGAAGTCGTGTTAAAAAGGACTACAACTTTTATTATACAAAAAGTCGAGCGTTTGTACAAAAAGGTGTATTCTTATATATTACATCGCTTGTAGTGAATCCAACATTAAAACGTTTTACTCTGAGATACGAGCGACTGATTGGAATAAAATAGCGTGATGCTTTAGTAATAAGGAACACACGAACACACAGCTGCGATCATTCCAACATCGATTCACTTAAAAGCGATGGTAGTTTCACATACCTATTTGCCCCGCGATCACATATTGCGTCCTAGTATAGGACCGTAACAATATTTTCAACATACAATTTACTACCTTCATACCTCATACATACAAACCAGCTAATAATCGTCATATATATATGTATATATTATGCGCATCGTTATCTCGCTAAAAAAAGGGAGGGCAACAAGAAAAGATCGACGTGGCACTTTCTCATAGGGTGCGTTCTTTTAGGCATCGGATTTGGCAGTCGCTGCGCATCGGAGCTGCCGATTGCGTGTTTTTTAAACGATTACGCAGATACGTAGCCGGCTGCGCAGCTAATTCTATTCGTCTGCGTATCTACTGCGTATCCATTGCCAAAAGAACGAAAATCTGCGCTGCAATCGATTGTGCAGTTGTGCTAAAAGAACGAATTACTGCAAGAACTGCTGTATCCGATGCCTAAAAGAACGCACCCATACAGTCATTGCATCCTCGCAAAGATCGGCAAAAATAGGAAACAACTACGAGCAAGACTGAGAGAATATTTGGACGAGAAATGATGTTGAAATCTCCTTTAAATTCGATTCGAAAGAGAATTAGAAAAATGTGACAGATCTTTCGAAACGTATTACAATTATTACATCTTCCATAAGTTCTTCAAATCAAATAAAAAATTCATTATAAAATACAAATTGTTATTAACCACCGGTCTGCCAAGAAAAATGGAACTTTTCTAAAAAATTGTTCACAAAAATTATATTTATGTATTATATCATAAATGTTTTTGATTGACTATTATCATAATTTTTTTCTTTCTTAGTATACACATTCATGCAAGTCGTTGATCTTTTCATCAAATTACTATTAAAATTTATTAATACTCAAAAAACGAGTAATAACAATCTTGATAGACCGGCTGTCAATTTCACCTCAACGCGTTCGGGTGTTCGGCAAAAACAATAACAGAACCGAACGTTGACCGCTGCGAAGCCGATTGGTATATACAGCGTAAGGAAACATCGGTGAAAGAATCTAATCGAACGCTTATCATCCCACCACCGTTTTGCATTTGTACTTTTACGATTCCACGCATGTTGCGGCAATCAATTTCGCGGCGAAGTGACGCAGAGAACTAACACGTGATCGACGAGACAATCTGCCGTCATTGTCATCATCGTCGTATCCGTTCATGAAAAAACGGGCATAAACACCTAAAGAATTAAGCTAAATCGCATTATGGTTACGAAGAAGTTTGAGCTGCTAACATTTCCTCCTGCTGTATCTTTCTCCGGTAGTTATCCAGTGTAACTTGTATAGTCTTCTCAGAGTAACGGCAGTTTTCGGCACCGCAGGTACATGTGAAGGACTTGCATTTTATAATCCAGAATTTCTCGCCGTAATCGAAGCTAAGGGCAAACAGATCCATATTTGTCTATTCGTGCGAAGTTAACAAAAGAGAGCGTGACGTAAAAAAACCGAAATGAGATTGGGTGTTTTTCAGCAAGGACACAGTCAGACACAGTGTAAAACAGTGAATCATTACATCCTTGTTGTTTGACTTAAACAAGGCGTTAAACAAAGCTGAAACGATTCACTATGTTACACAGTGTCTGACTGTGTCCTTATTGGAAAACATTGTGAGATATGTGAATACTCTTAAAAATACCGTCACCTTAATCCGTCGTGCGTATATTAGATACGCGTAAGTATGATAAATTGTATGTATTCGTTAGAAAACGCATTAAATAAAAAGAAAGATCTCAAAATCTTTCAAAATTATATTTAAAAAAATAAAAAGGTAATTTCTTAGGATTGTTTTAGCTCTTTAGAGAAATAAATAACACAAAAAATGAAAGAGTAAATGACACACAGAGTATAATCTATTGAAAGATTATAAGGATTATTTAAACACTATTATACTAAATAACTTTATTAGATAAAAGTAACATTTCGTCATTCTACATTAAACAAAAGATAAATAGAATTGGATTATTTTACTATCAAAATATATATTTGAATCACGACACAGAATTAAAGAGACAAAATATGAAGTAACAAAGGTGAAAAAAATTACAATTATGTGCCATGTTGTTGAACAAACAAAAAAAACAAATGTTAAGCAACTTATTAACAGAAAATGCTGTGCAACCATGTATTCCTGTTAGTTTAGAGGTTCAATGAGAATATCTCAGTGATTTTCGGTGTTTCATTGACTTCAACCGCTCTAGCGATTAGCGAAGAATGCTATCCTTGGAAAATGAAGATCCTGATGTTCGACGAATACTCGTACCGGCAACAGATTCGGCGCGCACGAATGATTAATGAACCGAGCAATATTCCCATAACGTCTTGCGTCTATACAATAGGTTTCTCCGTCCTGTGTACATCAAATAATTCTTTTATCCACAATCTACAATAAAATAGCTTACATAGATATAATAAGCTGTACAACACAAATGAGAAACAGTTATAAAGAAACGATTTTTCAAAAAAAATATGTCCAAAATCTTCTTATGGAGTGATAAACATGTTTTTGCACCTCAGATTATGTATGTGTATTTAAATTTAAGATTACGGAAAATGATCGAATAGTATGATACAGCAGCTGCTTTATCAAACGAAAGACTCATTGCATACAGAAAATTTTAAGTAAAAAAATTATCTTAATAAATAGAAACAGATACCAAGATAATTGAGTAGTAAATCATGATATTGCATCCCTTGAAGGACGGAAAAATCAAAATATTATGGTGAACAAACATCTAAAGTATTGTAATTGTTCAAATATTGT